AGAGAGAGAGAGAGAGAGAGAGAGAGAGAGAGAAAGAAAGAAAGAAAGAAAGAGAGAGAGAGAAAGAAAGAGAGAGAGAGAGGACAGTTAAGGTTCCGGATTTCGTTCGCCATGAAAAATCCTGACGGGACATCGACGCCTCTTCGTTTCACTACACTTGCACCGGTAATGGAACTTTTACCTTGACGTAACCTTGACACTGAATCCACCGAGCACTACAGGTGCTGTCATTTGTGCTGTCTTGAAATTTCTTGAGATTTTTATTACAAGTTTAACACTAGATATACCAAGTCGGTCGAGATGATTTCATAATTTTTGTTTTGAAGTTGCTGAAATTGTGAAGACTCTTTTGTAAAGAATTATTGAAATAATAAGAATTATTGGCGTAACCTTGGCACTGAATGTACCGAGTACTATAGGTGCTGTCATTTGTGCTGTCTTGAAATTTCTTGAGATTTTTATTACAAGTTTAACACTAGATCTACCAAATCGGTCGAAATGATTTCACAATTTTTGATTTAAAGTTGCTGAAATTGTGAAGACTCTTTTGTAAAGAATTATTGAATCGATCTTTTAATCCAAGGAAACATTATAATGAAAATAACGATAAGTCCGCATGGATAAATTTATAGAGCTCAAAGCTCTAGTTATAGAGCAGCGCATGTTACAGTAATGTCTCTCTAATTGACGCTCAGATTTTGCACAAAAATGGACAATTTTGGAAGTGGTGATACGATTATTCGAGCCTCGCGGTCGTCTTTATAGTTACGAATTGTCAACAACTATAAAAAATCTAGCTGCAAGGCTCGAATAATCATATCTCCTTTTCCCAAATTATTCATTTTTGTGCACAATCTGGGCGTCAGTTAGGGAGACATTACTGTAGTTAGTTTTAGAACTCGGTAGGTTTAGTATTTAGTATTTTTAGTATTAGTACTATTTTTTAATAATTCTCAATGCAAGGGCTTTGTAATCTTTGTAATTGTGTTAGTTAATTATTGCATCATAATAAGCACTATACTGAGTAGTACAGTTGATACATTACAGTCTAACTTGTATATTTAATATGGTCACACAGCATACTTAATTATTTAATATAATAAATATCTTCCTAACACAGGGCAGAAACCTTCGGTAAAAGAAATGTAGACGTTAAGTTGTAGACATTTATCTGTTACATTCAAACTATAAGCATTGTCTGTGTTTCAGGTCTGGTGCATTTTTCAGAAGGGAGCAGCTTTTAAAAAGATTCGATAAGATTTATACAAAATACCTTTAATAAGCTTCAATATAAGCAACCTTTAATAGTATCATTATGTATTTTCTTTTCAATCTATTGGACTTAACGAAAATAAACGAACATTTGTTTTAGTTTGTTGCAATCGAGATGGAAAACATTTATTTTTCATGAAGCTGCGAAACTTAATAAATAAATCAGTATTGTATCGTGTTAACATTAGATTTACGGAGCATAAAAAACAGCTGTTTCATACTACTTCATAAAAGTAACAATAAGACGTTTATTCAGATTTTCAACGAATATTCTTGTAACATTTGCCGGAATAAATAAATGCCGTGAATAAATAACTCATAAATGTATCTTCACGATACGAACAATCGTAAATGAAAAAATCACACAGTGACTCATCAACTTGACGAGTACCATAATGAAAATACAATTTACTGATATAGTAATGTCTCCCTAATTGACACTTAAATTGTGCAGAAAAATGGACAATTTGGGAGGAGGAGATACGATTATTCAAGCCTTGCAGCTTGTTTTTATAGTTGTTGACAATTCGTGACTATAAAAATGAACCGCAAGGATCGAATAATCGTCTCTCCACTTCCTAAATTGTCTATTTTTTTTTAGGACAAACTGAGCGTCAATTAGAGAGTCATTACTGTACATGAAATTAGTACAGTAATGTCTCCCATATTGACGCTCAGATTGTCCACTAGATTGGACAATTTAGGAAGAGGAGATACGATTATTCGAGCCTTGCGGCTCGTTCTTATAATTCTGGATAATTTATAACTATAAAAATGAACCGCAAGGATCGAGTAATCGTCTCTCTTCTCCCTAAATTGTCCATTTTTGTGGACAATCTGAGCGTCAATTAGAGAGACATTACTGCAGTCTTCTAGAAGGACTTAAGATGCGTCCGTGTGTTAATTGAACTTCGCTTCACAGCGTCAGGAATAAATTGTTCGAAGCGGAATAACACAGAAGCACCCAGAGAGGGAGAGAGAGAGAGAGAGAGAGAGAGAGAGAAACAGTCATAATATCATCAAGAAATATGTTTATTTCATAAGCCAGGGTTCAAAAGGACTCGGCTTCCCCGGAGCCAGGGTGGAGGACATTCAATGCCTATCGACGTCTCCATCAAAGGTACAAAGGACCCTCGATACTCTTGAAATCCGGCGGAAACTAGTCTGCAGGGTGTTTCGTTTCATCGGGTTACATTATCGTTCCGCCTCGGGCAAGGACGCGCGGATTAAGTCGCGCAGGANCTAATTGACACTTAAATTGTGCAGAAAAATGGACAATTTGGGAGGAGGAGATACGATTATTCAAGCCTTGCAGCTTGTTTTTATAGTTGTTGACAATTCGTGACTATAAAAATGAACCGCAAGGATCGAATAATCGTCTCTCCACTTCCTAAATTGTCTATTTTTTTTTAGGACAAACTGAGCGTCAATTAGAGAGTCATTACTGTACATGAAATTAGTACAGTAATGTCTCCCATATTGACGCTCAGATTGTCCACTAGATTGGACAATTTAGGAAGAGGAGATACGATTATTCGAGCCTTGCGGCTCGTTCTTATAATTCTGGATAATTTATAACTATAAAAATGAACCGCAAGGATCGAGTAATCGTCTCTCTTCTCCCTAAATTGTCCATTTTTGTGGACAATCTGAGCGTCAATTAGAGAGACATTACTGCAGTCTTCTAGAAGGACTTAAGATGCGTCCGTGTGTTAATTGAACTTCGCTTCACAGCGTCAGGAATAAATTGTTCGAAGCGGAATAACACAGAAGCACCCAGAGAGGGAGAGAGAGAGAGAGAGAGAGAGAGAGAGAAACAGTCATAATATCATCAAGAAATATGTTTATTTCATAAGCCAGGGTTCAAAAGGACTCGGCTTCCCCGGAGCCAGGGTGGAGGACATTCAATGCCTATCGACGTCTCCATCAAAGGTACAAAGGACCCTCGATACTCTTGAAATCCGGCGGAAACTAGTCTGCAGGGTGTTTCGTTTCATCGGGTTACATTATCGTTCCGCCTCGGGCAAGGACGCGCGGATTAAGTCGCGCAGGAGTTCCTTGAAGAAAAGCAACAGCTCGAAGGCGCTCTCCGAATGTCGCTGTTCGACTATTAGCACTCCGGCTAGCTAGCCCGTCTCGCTGGGGTTATTATCCTGCCGATTTCATAACATCCTTCGAGCCGACGACGGCTCCTTCGGCTCCCCCCTACCCTCTCCTTCCGGGACACCAAGTCGACACTCGCACTCCATTAAAGTAATGAAGACACCGAGAGGACGATTCTCTCGCCGTCGCGTGACGCTTCGGGGTCCAAAGGGTTTCCTTCCAAGGAATTTATTCCGCGTCGGGGGGTTGTTAAACTGAAAACAAACCTCTCCCCCGGACCGAGCCCCGGCCGCCCCTTTCTCATTTTCCGTGACTCGCGTCTTCGCCTTATCCTCGGCCGTTCGTCGTGGTCGTATCGTCTAGGTCGTAGCCGAGGCACAGCCTCCTCGTCACGGTGCCGAGGACTTTATCGTTTCGCCTGCTTTGCATCCCGGACATTAAGCCGCGCGGACGACCGGGGCATTATTCTTAAACTGCCTCGCTCGCGGCTCTTCCAGTTCCCCGATTACCCTCTAATTCTAATTTCGCGTTATCCGCGACTCCGGTGCCCGGCCTCCGCTTCTTTCCGCGCTTCCATAAAAACGCGAGACGCGGGGCTCTCTCGACCCTGCTAATTCCTTCCGACGGGAACCAGGAGACGCCGTCGCGGAACATTTGACAGCAATCCTGCGGAGTGGCGATGTAAAACGTCGTGTTTATCGACGGGTTGTTCGGCGGATGTCTTGACGCGGGATACGCTTATTAACACCGCGTATTATTTCGTAAGCCAGGCTTATTGTAAGACCGCGGCGTGCTTTGAACAACTTCTGGTTACATTTTTTAGTACAGAATTGCCTTCGGAAGCTTACTGATTTGTGGCTCTGTCTCTCTTTATCCAAACATCATCATTTTTCGATTGTTCGGGCTCGCTTGATTTTTTTATATTTAGTTACATGGATTCACGTTCGCCCATAATAATCTCGTCGTCGCTGACACTATTTCGGGAACAGCGTTCAAAATTTTCGAAGTACAGTAATGTCTCCGTTGTTGACGCTTAGATTGCGCACGAAAATGGACAATTTGGGAAGAGGAGATACGATTATTCGAGCTTTGCGGTTTGTTTTTATAGTCACGAATTGTCAACGATTATAAAAACGAGCTGCAAGGCTCGAATAATCGGAGCAATAATCGTGCGCAATCTGGGCGTCAGTAAGGGAGACATTATTGTAGTCACCATCAGAATCGGTAATAGAATTGCAGTCGTTATCGCTCGATATATCGGACAAATTATTAGTCGATTGATGACCGAACGGGGAAATCACCCGCTTCTAAGTTCTAAAAATTAAAAATGATTACTCAATTTTATTAAGATTTTATTAAGAGGTACGAATGTTGAGGAAGTAATTCATGTTACGTATGGCATATAGGTTTGTCTCGCAAGTTTTATTTAATCGAATTAAACCCTTTGCGCTCGAGTGACGACTCTCAGACACCGCTAGAATTGTTATATCACGTTCCGAGATCATTTTTATATTAACAAAGTTTAAATTTGAAAAATTGCTAAATCATTTATTGCCGTAAATTGCTGTAACTGTTGTACCACGAGGCTCGATTTAATATAAAATGGAAATACTATAAGTCAGAGAAATTATTTTTCATTTACAGTTAAAATGACTTCGAGTGCAAAGGGTTAAATACTTCGATTTTATGAAATTTTTTAGATTTCTCGCGCGGTCGCTAGAGTGTCAATAGGAAATTACAAATTATCTTTGACAATTGTAACAAAAATCAGTCAATTCTATTCCTTTTTTCAATAATTTCACGAGTCAGAAATGATAGAAAAATCTCTTAAAATTCTTTCAATAATTTCATTGCTTTAAAATTCGCTTAACTATTTTTATTATAAAATCCCCAGTCTGCTGGTCACTTATGGCAACAACAATCTTAATTCCTCTTCTTTACGAATTATCTATCGACAATTCGCTAGAAGAGAAGATAAAGTGTAAACAAATAAAAAAATAAAATTCGATAAAACTAGAAGAATTCGATAAAAATATCGTTATTAATCGACGCATACAAAAATTTGCTCATAACGCGGAGCCACGAAGATAGAATTTCAGCCACAAAAAAACAGGCATCCAGCTCACTGTGCGTTGTTTCAGCGCGACTCAAGATAAACTCTCACGTTCCACAAAAACCTTCATAAAAGCCCTCGAATGCATCTCCCAAGGCTAATTTTCGTGTTCCATTCAGCCGAAGGATTTCGTCGGCCTAATTCCTGTTCACCGTGCGCCGAAACATTGTTCCCGCAGGTTGACGGGTCACAGTGCACCGATGCACCGAAACGCTCCCCGAATACACGAGAAACTGCAACACGAAACGTGAAAGCGACGCGGCTGGAATTCGCGTGGGATTAGACTCTCCTGTGGGTTTTCTGCCAGAGCGGGAACAGAGAGAATTCCATCGACGGGGTGTAGGGTGTGCGCGGCAACCGGGCAGCTCCTATTCGAGGATTTAGCACGGCGTGAACGCGTTCCACCGAGTCACCGAGCCCATAAATATAAAAGCGCGTCGGCAAAGTGCTACATTTCGTACTTAACTCCTCCTTCCAGGCATCGGCGTTGATCGATCTACTCGGAAGACGTGTTCCCGACCGCGTTGCCCGGGAGCACCATCCATTAGAGGCAGCGTGTTTAATCAGAACTCTAAAGTTTCTCGCCGCCGACGCCGCCGCCGCTCTCCGGTCAGCATAATTGGTCGTACCGTGGAGCGCGAGTATTTGCTTGCGCGCTTTCAACTAAACTCGCGGAAATAAAGGAAAAAAGAAAGGAAAGAAGTACCGGCGACGGAAGATGAAAAGAGAGAGAGAGAGAGAGAGAGAGAAAGAGAGAGCGGGAGAGAAAAAGAGTGGGACAAAAGGCGGCGAAGGCGTAGGAAGAACGCGGATGCAAGTAAGACCGAGGGGCAAGGATTGTATCGCCCTAGCTGGAAAAGAATGGGGAGAGAGAGAGAGAGAGAACGGCTCAAGGGGT